TAGAGATCACAAACTTAGACTTCAATTACTCTCACCTATAACTGATGTTTTTCAAATGTTTATTTAAATAACTGTTAGCATAAAGATGCAAATGAGCAAATATTGATTACTGAAATACTCAATTCTACCCTTAGCAACTTGCAGACCTAGACTGTCACATGATTGTCATCATAAAATGATTCTATTATAACAATCTGCCCTGTGAAAACTCATTTTATTCTTAGAAAAGGAAATTTTGTTTTCAAGATGTAACCCTTATAATAATAACAAAGTATATTATAAATTTCATGGAAATAGAAGGAGTTCAAGACTCCACGATAACTAACTGATCTCATGCATTCGTTCTTGAATGTTAGAATCATCAAGGAATAAATGTTAACTCAAAAGAAAAATTACAAAGTTTTATTAATTAATAATTATACTTTTAATGTAGTTCATCTCTCAACCCCAAGGTTTTAAAAGTATAAACAAGTAAATCTATAAGAAAAAATAAAACGGAGGATAATAACTATTACTATATCACTCTATATAAAGAAGCAACTTCATACCTTGCTATGTTATGAATGAACATTAAAATGTCAGTTTTCTTTTGTACATCTTCAAGATTTTTCTGAGACAAAAATTAATTCTGCAATGAAACCAGTCTGGGTCATTTAGTTAAACAAATCTCTCAAATTTCTCTCTTTTTATAAATGTAACTTCTGATACAGGGTTTTGTTAACCTCAGCAAGATTGTTTTTTGCAGCTTTCAGGCAATATTTAGTCTTACTAAAGAAACACTGTAAAGTCTGCACTGTTTTTCTAAGGTACTTATGTCACATGTCTTTTATGTCTCATCTGTATGACCCAGATCTGTCCAGTGTTTGCTCTTATATTTCTCAAGCATTTGGGGGGCAGACTTTCCAGGCCCTCGGTACTCTTGGTTTTACAATTTCCCCCATTTGTCTCCTTCTGTCCGTCATTTCCTTCCTGTCTTCATTTTGTTTAGTTCATTCCCCATCCTTCCTTGCTTTCCTTCTTTCATTTTCTAAGCTCCTCAGCTGTATAGACTGCACTGCATCATTAAAGTTACTTTGTCCCTGCATGGTCTGTAGCTGTCTCACTAGATCAGAAACCCCTTTCCTGTCCCATTTATTGATCTGATGGCTTTGCGCAGAGTATTTTAGAACTTCAGTTTCCCCTTATGAGGAATTTATGAACTCGCATATGTCCAGAACCCCAAACACAGTAAATACTGCGTATTAACTGGCAGACATATTTCCTTTATGATGTTTCTCAGTTGCAAACATTACTTTTCCTTTTGATCCTTTGAGGTTTCTTATTATGTTTATCTTCATATGCATCAAAGTGTTTAAAAATTAACTTAGTATTTTTAACTGTATCTTATGCCTACTTCTGGCTCCAGGATTCATCTTTAGGCTAAAAATCTTTTTAAAATTCTTGGCTTCTATATTTGTAGCGGAACATATTTTATATTCTATTTAAAATGGATTATTGTCAGACTAGTAAACAATGAATTTGATGAATAATAACACATGGTTGGAAGTCTGAACTTGTCAGGCTGCTTTTCCTCTTTGTGAGGCAAGTTAATCTGGAAACTTACCAGTGCTTTCCTGTGTACACTGTCACTTTTTCTGCCATCCTTACAAATCTAATTCTTAAGAAATATATTCAAGTATCAATATTAGCAGAAGCACTCATTTGTTCTAAGTTTACTTTCTTAGCAATAGTGTTATTTTATTAATTTCATAAGAAAATTAATCAATATAATTGTATATAAATCAATAAAATTTGATGTACATCTTATTGTATATAAATTTTTGATTCCATAAAGTTTACTTGGGAAGACTAAAGTACTTATAACATTTTTTTGATAATTTATATTCATTATTTGATGTGTTTCAGTATTTTCAATTCCCACAAATAGGAATGTTGGAAAAATTACAAGGATCCATGAAAATTTAAAAGCAAAGTATAAGTCAAGTATGTGGACAGGTATGAATACGATACACAATGAAGAAAAAGTAACAAAAGTAAAATCATTAAACTGTAAAAAATAAAATAAAACAAAATGATTTGAAAGTACTGGATATGAGTGTTTCTTTAAACAATGATATTCTAACTTATAATTTTAAACTAAGCCTATCTTCACAAGTGTGTCGGCTTATATACTTCATATTTTGATATTTTTAAAATGAAAAACATTTGTGATTATGTAGCATTTATTTCAAAATAGATTTTCCTTAGGTATCATCATCTTTTTGCAAATCTTCCATGGTTTACTTCAGAGTGGTTTAAAAAAAAGGTGGTTGTTTGAAATATTTAGGAAGTTTTCCTTGTTAACAGGAGAACTTGAGAAAGACGACACCATCACTGCTTTCATATTTTTCTTGCTAAGAAAAATTTAATTCCTTCAATTCTGTACTTTATTTCCTTCTTTCCGTTTTATGGAATTGATATGTGAATAAAAATGTGTGTACAATTGTTACTCGCGGTGAATAATATAGCTAACTTATTTCCACAAATGTATGTTAGATGTGCTGAATTTAGAAAATAATGTCTTTGTCAACTGGCATCAGTAACAGCAGCTGAAAGTATTTAGTATTTTTCCAGTAGTTATTGTAAAATGCTGTGACACCACATTTAGCATTGGTCCAATCTCATTTCTTCTGAGACGACAGAATCCTCTGAATCCTGTGCCATTCCCGAAACTCTGATTTTGTTTTCCTGAATCTTTAAAATGAGTGTAATAGTACCCATGCCATAGAGCTGTTATGAGACTTAACCGAGAGGCTACGCTCTGTAAATACTAGTTCCCTTGGTCTAACTTTGATTACTCGTTTTTAATGTGACTGAGCAAACTAACGCGATAAAAATGGCAGCTTGGAAATAAATGGTAGTGGAATATTTTCAGCACTGTACTCCAATTATGTAAGTAAATGGAAGAAGCGCAAGGAGGATATTGATGTCTTGCTTTTCTTCAGCAGAGCTGCATTTAACATAAAGGGGAGTCATTTTATTGAATAATAAAAGCCCGACAATCACTGTGATTGGCTGACAGCCATTACTGCAGTGCAATTCTAAACAGCTTGTTTTTCAAAGTTATTTTTGAATACCTCTTTAAATCTCAGACCTTGCCCAGTTGTCTCAAAAGTTCAAAACTCATTTTTAAAATGAAGTTTCTCATATTTCAGTACCTTTTGACATAGATGATAGAAAAAGATACGGATTATTTTGTTTAAATTATTAGAATTGGATGTAGTTTGAATGGAACAGAAATTTGGAAAATTAAGCCAAGTAAGGTTTACCTGGTAGATAAAATTGAGTGACAGAAGAGAAGAAGACCACATCTGAAGAGATTTTATTAACAAAAAAATGAAGTCCAACATGTTTACAAGGGAAAGCACATTTGATCTGTACTATCCAGCTTCAAATCTTGTGATTTCTGAATAGAACTTACGGGTTCTAAAGTTACCAAATTCTCTTTGATGCATTCATCTCTCTCAGCCAGCAGTTCTCATCCGCAATCCTCACTGGAAAGTACATTTAATAAGTGGATGTACAGTTGGCAATTCACCAAAATAAATATTTAATGATATTTTAATGCCTATTTTAAACCTCTTTTATTTAAATTGTGGATTAATATTTTATTTGGTCAGTGAATTCTGGCCAAAATGTTTGAGAACATATTTGCTATTGGGGCTCTTTACAATGGATGTGCACTAATTTTCAGAATTGTCCAGGTTAGATCTTTTCTGATGGAGTATTTTATCTTAAACCTCAACATCAGAAGTACTGAGGAAAAGATCTGAAGCACGAATCTGAGAACTACAAACTACATTAATTGGTCGTTTTCAAACACAGAGATCATCATTAATTCCCTACAAACCAGATTCAAAGCATCCCAGGAAAAACACGGTTCTGATAACGAGTATTGAACAAAAATGAAGAAAAACAGATGCGTCCCAGGGTCCAGAAGGCTGATTCTTCAACAGGCAGCAACAGAAGAATCCCAACGCATCCCGCGATTGGCTGATGGCATCTTTGTTCGGGCGGCAGGCTCCCCGACCGGATGCTGGGTGGAGAAAGCCTCGCCCACCCTCACCTTCGGAGCCCGCGGCTCCGCCACCTGGGCTCCGCGCGCCGCGCCGCGCCTGT